GGGGCAGGGGGTGGGTGCAGGAGGGGGTGAGGAGTGCAGGCTCTGGGCTGGGGGTGGGGGCATAGGAGGGGGTGAGAGGTGCAGGCTCTGGGAGGGAGTTTGGGGTGGGGGTGCAGAGGGAGGGGGTGCAGGCTCTGGGAGGGAGTTCGGGGATAGGAGGGGGTGCAGGGGTGAGGGCTGTGGGGCTGAGGATGAGGGGTTTGGGGTGTGGGAGGGGGGCTCAGGGCTAGGGCAGAGGGTTGGGGTGTGGGGTGATGGCTGTGGGGCTGAGGATGAGGGGTTCATGATGCAGGAGGGGGCTTAGGGCTGGGGCAGAGGATTAGGGTGCGGGGGGATGAGGGTTCGGGCTGGGGTTGAGGGGTTTGTGGCGTTGGAGGGGGCTCAGGGCTGGGGCAGAGGATTAGGGTGCGGGGGGATGAGGGCTCAGGCTGGGGTTGAGGGGTTTGTGGCGTTGGAGAGGCTCAGGGCTAGGGCGGAAGGGCAGGGTAAGGGCAGCCTGCCCTGCCATTAGTGAATGGGGGGCACTAGGACCCTGCGGCAGCAGTTGATGCCATAGACTCAAGTATGTTGATGGAAAAATTCTTCCTTGAACTGAGCTATCACCTCTCATGGATTAACTACATTGACAGAAAATACCCTTCCGTCTATGTAGGAAGCATCTACACTACAGAGGCTATCAAGGCACAACTGCAGCACCATAGTTGTCCTGCTGTAGCCACTTGGCATAGGCACACCCTAAGAACTGTGACTAATGAATTCCCCATTAGAACATTATGGGTGAAGTCTGTCCTAGATAACAAATGCCACAAAAACAATAGCCACTCGTCAGGGGTCCTTTATTGTTTCTTTTCTGTCTGAATAAGTCATTTGGGGTGTCAACATTTTAAATTCCATTGAGGCAAAGGGCAGAGCTAAGATCAGGGCATGTTGTGATGCTGGAAGGTGTTAATGGCTGACATCAAACACAGACCTGGTTAAAGCTGCTATGTTGAACTCTATTGATTTTGGGCTAACCAGGTACCAGGAGCTCAGTGTTCCCAATTTTCTCCTCCCCGTTTTCCAGGTTTCCCCAAAATCAATAGGGTTCTGTCCATTGATGCCTAGAACATTCCTTGAAAGTTTGGAATTGATCAGATGCATCATGCAAATGTTATTGTGTTACATCCAATCAGACACAGAAATGCCATCCAGTTGAGTGTAGGGCCTCACTTGGCTCAGCCAATGAGACATAAATGTTTGCAGATGAAAACCTACCAAGAACTGAAAATGATTGCTTTGGTAGGGGACATTCTGTGCAATCTAATTAACGTTCTCTATTTTTCCACGTTTCTGCGTGCTGACTTGGAACACAGAGTAGTTTTGTTTGCTTTCGTTTGTAGTCTGGATTTTTAAAGATATACAGAAGGTGAAAACACTGTCTGTGTTTTGCAGATTTCATCAGTTCCTTGCTGGCAGTTCATTGGTTGGATTAGCCAGTTGATGGCAGTGCTTGACAAAGAGGAAGCTGTAGCTGTGCAACATACTGTAGAAGAGATTGCAAATAGCTACCCACAGGCAATCGTTTATCCTTTCCTGATCAGCAGTGAAAACTATTCCTTCAAAGACACTGCAACTGGCCACAAGAACAAGGAGTTTGTAGCAAGGTGGTATTTGAAATGTTGCTTACAAATCTATAAGATTTTAATAGGATGTGATAGTCTGTGAAAAGCATAGAAAATATTAGATAAATTCTGGTATCTCCTGTGCTTGGTTCGAAGGCATGGAAAAACAGGTACTTAGGCCAACGTTTCTAATGTGGGTGCCTAAAATTAGGCACCTACATCCATATTTAAGAACTTAAATAAGTGGTTAGATTATTTTCAGAGGTGCTGAGCACCCACAATCCTTGCTCATGCTTAGCCTCCCACAGCCCTATAAAAATGAACTACAAAACATAAAAGAAAAATGTTTGCCTTTTCCTGCTCTTTTGAAGTATAAAGTTTCAGGTGCAAAATCATAGAGTGAGGTTCCTTCCTTGTCTGCTCTGCTAGGGTTGAGGGAAATCCACAACTCAATCTCCAGTAACATCACTATTCATATCTGCTAACGTTTGCTAAGATCCTTTAGCAAAGAGAAGAAAGTGAGGCTCTGACGTTTATAATCTTTCAAATGTAACAAAATGAGCAAAGACACTTGCTAATTAAAAAGTAATTTAACGAATTAAAAAAAACTATCCTTGTACATCAAAAAGAGCAGTGAGGTGAATGCCCAGGCTTTCCTTTTTGGAAGGTTGCTCCTATTGTGTAAAACACGCTGCTCCCTTATTCTAGGGCTCTGAGCCATCACAGTCTCCCTGGCATTGCTTTTCACCACCATCTGTTGGTGGGGCAAGAGCTGTTTTAGTTGACTACCATGTCATTGTAATGCCTATCACACAGTCCTTGTAAAATTACTATTATTGTATGTGTCCCTTTGTCTTTGCTCATGACTTTTGCATTATTTCTTAGTTTGAGACAAGGAGGCAAAGGTCCACACTTCTTGTGCTACTCAGAATAAATAACCCACACACCGCTTCAGTGGCATGTGCTGGATGTATACAGTCTTGTTAATGCTGATTGCTGTACCCACTGGAGAGCTGCCAGTTCAAAATGTTGCTATTTTTACAGCAGACTCTTAGCAAATACCAAAAAATACCAAGTTGCAGAGAGAGAGAGATGGACAGACCTAAGTGCATTAGAGGCACTGCTGTTCCTCTGCAGCCTGAGAGAGAATTCCCATCCTCAAGTCCTCCTTGTCCCTGAGCCCCACAGAATTTTATTTGTTCAGGGTTTACACATAGTATTTGTGTGAAGACTGGACAAGAATATGCTGATGGCAGCTTTTGTTGTCCAATTCTGATGGTCTGTTCTTTTGCAGGATAAAGAGTAAATTAGACAGAGGAGGAGTGATTCAAGATTTTGTTCATGCCCTGGAACAGCTTTCTAATCCAGTGATGCTCTTTAAGGTACACTAGGAACCCCTCAGTCATGTGGCCTTTGAGAGAGACAATGCAGAGAGGAGCCAGCCAGACTGATGCTGGAGAACAGTTGCAGGGATTGTCAGGGATTGATGGCCACAGATGATGTCATCAGAGTGCTTTCTGCAATTTTTACTCTGAACATTCTCTCCCTGTTCTGATCGGCTGTTAGCCCCTTCCTCATTATCTCTAACCATTCTTGCTCCTTCCCTTTAGTTCTTCGTCTAGCTAATCCCCTCCTAATATAACCTCAGTGAAAGGATTTAAATAAAACGAAAGCAGAAGATATGGTAGAACTAACATAATGTTTTCAATCATTGCATTGTTCCTTCTGCTTGTTCGATATACCTCTTAACCCTACTTATGTCTGTCTTGTGTATTTAGAGTTTAAACTCTTTAGGTTAGGGACTGTCTTATTCTATCTTTGTACAGTGCCTCACACAATGGGGCCCTGTACTCAGTTGGCCTCCTGGCACTACTGTAATAAACATTATAAAAAATAAAGTATAAGAAACAGCATTTTACATAGCACTCCTGTAGCTTTCAGCTTGCGCTAAAATGATTATAGTAGACTTTTTAATTCTAATTCACATCATCAGTAGACCTAATACCATCTGACTGGGTTACAAAAGAGAGGGCGTGTAAATCATTTTCTTCAGTCCTCAGCCCTTTCTCTCTGTATTCACAGGATTGGGTTGAGGATGTCAAAAATGAGTTGGGAAAAACTCAGAGAAATAAAAATAACCTTAAGGAAATGTATGAAGGAATGTACAGAAACTTAGGAGATTTACAAGCTCCAGGTCTTGGGTTGTTCAGAAAGAGATTTATTCAGGTATGTATGAAATCCCTCTCAATGATATCGAATACTGTTGGTGAGTAATGGGATGGGAAGGTTATACTGGAAAGTTAAAAAGGACAGTATCAATCAGATAGGAGGTTCTGGCCCAATCCTGCAGCCCTCATTCATATGAATGATTGAGTTAGGACTGGGCCTTTAATACTTGTTAATTAGTATCTGTGATGCTTTAGTTTTGTTACAGTTCAGCTGACACTTCTTGACGGCTCTGCCATGTAGAATGTTCCCACCTGAGGCATTAGTTTACACTTGTTCAGCCATTCCTCTTTGCTTACATGCCAGTGCATTTGCCTCTGTCCCTACCCAAAGCTTTCTGCCTATGTACTTATGTGGTACTCTGGCCTCTTATTCCTAACCTAATGCTTTAGAGGCATCAGATGGACAGTTTAATTGGGATCTTGTTGATGGCTGTGGCTCTGCAGAGAATCCTGAAATATCTGAGCACTTAGTGACAAAGAAATAGAGAAGGAAGAGTTTGTGTACGTGTGTGTGTATATATAGTGTGTGCTTTTTTTAATGTTAAACATGCTGATGGTTTTCAGCACTGCATTTTTAGAGAAGCAGTTTCATTCTAATGGGGATTAGTGGATTTGAGTTTGGAATCTCTGTACATTGCAATTAATTATTAGGTCAAGTCCTCGCTAGCTTAACTAATTTTCATCAAAATTAAAAATATTCTGATATATTTCAAGAACACACAAAAGAAAGGAGGCTTTTTAATCATAAATTTGATTAAATGTGCAGCACAACACACACACTACATTGATCTTGTCTTCAGTGGAACTTGTTTTACTTTTGTGCAGCCCAGCCTACTTTTACCAAGTGACTGTGATATAATAAAAATATCTGTGTTTAGATGATTAAATGGGCCATTCCTCATACAGTATCTTCTATTCAGTGCAGCACTGTAAGTGATGTACACATTTAAATGATCTGGAAGAAAATATGAAACCATCACTTGATCAAGTTTGCAGATGAAACAAAAAATGGGGGAATGGTAAATAATGAAGAGGACAGGTCACCAATTCAGAGCAATCTAGATCACTTAGTTAACAGGGTGCGGGGGAAAAAAAAGAATTTAAAATGGCTAAATATAAGTGTATATATCTGGGAACAAAGAATGTAGACCATACTTACAGGATGGGGGACTCTGATTCTGAAATAAAATTTGGGGGTGGCGGTGGATAATCATCTGAACTTGAGCGCTCTGTGTGACGCTGTGGCCAAAAGAGCTAATGCGATCTTGTGAAACATGAGCGGGAATCTCAAGTAGGAGCAGAGAGGTTACCTCTGTATTCAGCACTGGTGTGACTGCTGCTGGAATACTGTGTCCAGTTGTGGTGCCCACAATTCAGTAAGGATGTTGTAGCGATACACTCAAGGAGCTCAATCTATTTAGCTTAACAAAAAGAAGGTTAAAGGTGACTTGATTGCAGTGAGGAACAAATATTTGATAATGGGCTCTTCAGTCTAGCAGAGAAAGATATAACATGTTCCAATGGCTGGAAGTTGAATTCAAAGTTTAGACTGGAAATAGGGTGTAAATTTTTAACGGTGAGAGTAATCAATCACTGGAATAATTTACCAAGGATTGTGGTGGATTCTCCATCACTGACAATTTTTAAATCAAGGTTGGATGTTTTACTAAAAGATCTGCTCTGGGAATTCTTTTGGGGAAGTTCTATGGCCTGTGTCATACAGGAGGTCAGACTAGATGACCACAGTGGTCCCTTCTGGCCTTAGAATCTATTAATCTGCTAACCAAACAAGAAAGAAAACTAAACTCAAAGCCAAAAAAACTTTCAACTAAAACAGGGTGGGCAAACTTTTTGGCCTGGCCACATCGGGGTTCCGAAACTGTATGGAGGGCCGGGTAGGGCAGGCTGTGCCTCCCCAAACAGCCTGGCCCCCCTCCCCTCCCACTTCCCGCACCCTGATGGCCCCACTCAGAACCCCAGGCCCATCCAACCCCCACTGCTCCTTGTCCCCTGACACACACCCCGGAACCCCCTGCCCCTAACCACTCCCCCCCCCCAGGACCCCAGCCCCTAGCCAATCCACCCTGCTCCCTGTCCCCTGACTGCCCCAACCCCTATCCACACCCCTGCCCCCTGACTGCCCCCCGGGATCCCTTGCCCCTTATCCAACCTCCCCACCCCCTTACCATGCCGCTCAGAGCACCAGGACTGGCAACCGTGCCGCCTGGCCGAAGCCAGCCGTGCTGCCCGGCAGGAGCTCGCAGCACCACTGCCCAGAGCATTGGCGGCACGGCGAGCTGAGGCTGTGGGGGAGGGAGGACAGCAGGGGAGGGGCTGGGGCTAGCCTCCCCGGCCAGGAGCTCAAGGGCCAGGCAGGATGGTCCTGCAGGCCGTAGTTTGCCCACCTCTGAACTAAAACATAAATGATAGAGAAAATACTCTAACAGTTGTCTGAGCCACCTTAGAATATTACTCAGATGCTCTATAGTGGGAATTTTTCTGCTAATCCTCATTTCACAGTCTCTATGGGAATCAGAATGCAATGCCCTTGACAGCTCATTTTATTTCTTTCTTACTACAGGGTCATAGATGTTCATGATGCTTTATAGAGAAATAAAATGATAGGTCATACTTCTAAGTTGCTTACAGCTATTTGTATAAATAAGATGTTAGAGAGGACTTGTCTTAATAATTAATTACTATGTCCAGGGATTCCAAATATAAATCCCCATTAGAATGAAACTGATTCTCTAAAAATGCAGTGCTGTGCCTCTGATCACAGTGTGATCTTGCTATGTATCAAGTGAACTTTAATTCCTTTACTGTAAATTAATTTCAACTTCAGACCTTTGGGAAGGATTTTAGCAGTCATTTTGGAAAAGGCGGCTCGAAACTGTTCGATATGAAGGCTGATGACTTCAGTAGAATTGCATTCTCTCTCCTTTCAAAAATGAAAGACCAGAAAGAACCTGGAAATCTGAAAGAATGCTCACCTTGGATGAGTGACTTCAAAGCTGAATTCATGAGGAACGAACTGGAGATCCCTGGTATGCTACCATTTCAGTATGGATAGTGAACTCTTACAGGAATAGTAGTTACCCGTAAGTTCCAGTCTTCTTTAGCTAAGAACAAGAGTCTTCTCAGTTTGATTCCTTATGCGTCCTCTCTGTGGCCCTGTATCCTGCCATTGCAGGGGGAAGCATTTGGTAATCAGAGGGATCTTTTCTGTCTCAAACTACCAGGATTCTCTTCTTCTTAAGACTAGATTTAGCTATATTTACTGCTGTGATATTTTAAAATGTCTTTATTCTTAAAAAAATAAATAAATAAAAAATCATTGAACTTTTATGTTGCTTCTAACTCCTTGATCCCAGCAGGTTTTAAACAAAGATCTAATGGATTTGCATTCTAGTTTGAAAAAGATCTGACCTCTGAAAGCAAAATAGTTCCAAAATCTAATGGCATAGGTGAAAAAATAATACGTCACTGAACGACAAAATGAAATACTGTATGTTTAAATATACACTTTCAAAATCTTCGTTTTCTACTAGTTTAATAAGATGCAATATTAGGCTGAATATGCATGCCATCATTAACTAAAGTTTAATTTTTAAATATTTTAATATTTAAATGAAGACTGTATGCCTCTTTGTTTTATTTTTACTTCAGGTCAGTATGATGGTAAAGGTAAACCATTGCCAGAATACCATGCAAAAATCTCTGGATTTGATGAACGGGTATGCTAACAACTTTAAAGACAATATCCCTTTTGGCTTCTAATGTAAAAACATGGCTCAGTATAGTGTTTTTGCGGGGGAGGGAAGCAGTGTGTAAGCAGATATCTAACAGTACACAAAGGATTAATCTTATTAAGTAGATGGCCATTATAACATCATCATTAAATACACATTGATATTAGTTTGGGTGTTTTCTATATGGATAATTGGGTGCTTTCTGCAGAGGCAATGGATTTATCTACGCTTTTCTAAATTAGTAAAAAATAAAGCAGTCTAGTGGTGCAAGAAGAACATGATCACAGAACACAGGAATACAAGAGGCCCAGGAGTTTAAGTGATAGCCCTGATGCTACAGCAATGCATGCTCTCACCTGTGCCAAAAATGTTTTGCTTTTTTCCCTCCCTTCAAGATAAAAGTAATGGAGTCTATCAGGAAACCAAAACGTATAAACATCCGAGGCAGTGACGAGCGGGAACATCCCTTTCTTGTCAAAGGTGGTGAAGATCTCCGGCAGGACCAGCGCATTGAGGAGCTCTTTGATGTCATGAATATTATCCTTTCCCAAGATGCTGCCTGCAGCCAAAGGAACATGCAGATAAAAACTTACAAAGTCATACCCATGACAACCAGGTAGGGACTTTGTGGTCTTGTCATTCAGGGATAAAAATCCTCACATCAAAAGTCACATAGCTTCTTTGTGCTGGGAGGTGGGATTTCTTTGTGCCAAATGCTGGTGCAAAAATTTTTGGCACTTGGCTCTGGGAATTGTTTTATATGATATGAAACTTTTTTTAGACCATTTACATGATATTTTTAATTTGTCGAAAGTGCCATGTCTGGCAATTATTTTTCTGAATATATTTGGGTTTATAATTATAACTTGGCAGTTTATATAAAACTTCCTGAGTTTAGACCTCACAGCATGTCCCAAAGTTGGGTAAATCCTATTATCCTGTTTTAAGGATAAGGAAACTGAGGCACAAAATTTGAGACTTGCCCAAGACAATGATCTTTACCAGAGTCAGGAACAAAACCTACAGTCTTGTGACCTATCAACTGGACCATGCTGCTTTCTAGTTATATTGCTCCTCTTTTTCAATTAAACTCTGAGGGTTTTGTTCCCACACATGATTTCTTTTATTTCAGATTAGGGCTGATTGAGTGGTTGGAAAATACCTGTACCTTAAAGAATTTCCTTATGGAAAGCATGACCGAAGAGGAAAAAGATGACTATCACAGGTGATGCTGGTTTTAACTGCCCACATGAATAGAAATTTTCAACTAGCAATAATCACGCCTCAGATAAACCTCATTGGCTACTATTACTGGGCTCTTTTCCAAATTCTGTTTGTCTGATGAAAAACCTAGGCTTAATGGTGTAAAATAAATAAATAAAGTATTTGTAAGCCAGAAGTCTCTTTAGTACTTCCTGACCCAAATTAGTATTGGCAGCTGTTTAATGAGTACCATTGTACCTGTCATCCATATCCGCCACCCAACTTGCGTAAACAGGGAGTTTGTAATCCACTATGACGTTATCATCACTATTTCCTTATCAACAGATTATGATTTTACACGTGAAGGATTTTGATCTCTTGCTTTGAACAAGCAGGAAGTGGACTTAGGTCAGCAAGGAGAGAGAGTTACTTAGAAAACTGTGTGTTCAGCAATGAGTCAGTAATTGAGGATATTGCCTATAACTACATGAAATACAAGTCTATCTGAGTTTAAAAGAAATGTTGCCTTTGCATGATGAGTGGATTTTAGAAATTCTAGTTTTCTGTCTCCTGGCTGTTGGTTTTCAAAGGATGAACATTTGTAGAATCAGATGAATTCTAATTTTTCAATCTCTATTATCTTTTTGAGGCTTTAGGAATAACTTTCACTAACTAACTGCTTTGTTCCCATTACACAGTTTTGTTTAGATTTATCTAGATATTGGCATGATTGATTTGCAAGCTCTTTTGTTTTTGAACCAGGGTTGTGAAATCAAGTCTCACACCAAGGCTCGCATCCAGTTTGACACATCAGTTGCATTACTGGTTGTGTCCTTCAGTTGAGACATTTAACTGTGCTCCTTTCTGCCTGTCTTCTGTTTGTACAAAACCAAGTTAAAAATCCTTTAGCACTTTTCCAATAGAAATGAGAGCTGTGAAAAGATTCTTTCTCCATTTTCCAAGTGGGTGGTGGAGTAATTACTGAGCATGTAAGAACTACTGAGTTTGCCTACAAAGTCTCTGCATTACCAGCACCTAGCTCATTGCTTTGGGATGGGCTTGTACCTTGAGTGAGAAAGGGGTCATGTAAATCCCATTCTGGGTGGTGGGAAAGTTGTGGGGGAGGGATCACAATGTGCAAAAAAGAGAGAATCCTAATATGTAGGGTAAGTACATAGAAATGTATGTTTGTGTCTTTGTGAAAACTGTTTTATAATTTAAAACATAAGCCTATTTTATAGTTGTAAATACAGTTTATTAATTATTTCCACACTTGGCTGAGGGAACAGCAGCATTCCCAAAGGAAATACTGATGAGAATTCCCACTGACTAAACTTCAGTTTAAGAGACGGGGGAAAAAAAACAAAATAATTATAGGAGGATTTGGAATTTCTTTGCTTTGCTTTCTGCAAAGCAGACACACCATGCAGCCTGGATACTAATCTTCTTCTTCTACCCTTAGTCCCATCTAAATGTGTCAGCTCTTCGAGTCTGGCTTTTCCATTCCAGTCTGTCTTGAAACAGTTCCTTGGAAAGTCCACAGCTAATCAAATGGTCTTGTATGACATCCATTCAACTAGTTTTGGGTCTTCCAACCCTTCTCTTACCACACAATTTCTTATATATTCTTCTGATCATCTTTTCACACACCCAAACCATACAAGCTTGGATTTCCTCAGCTTTTCTATAATTGATGATACCTTCACACTTCGCCCTACTTCATTCATTCCAAACATGGTCCATCCTTGCAATGTCAAGCATCCATCTTAATGGTTTCATTTCCATTATATTCCAGATCTGCTCCTGTCTCTTCCTCAGTGCCCAGTGTTTGGAGCCATACAAAAAGACAGCCCTAATTACCATCTTACAAATCTTACGTTATTTTTCAATTTAATAGGTGTTCTCCTATTACAGATCATTCTGCTCGCTTCTCTCCACTTAGTCCATCCCTTTCCAGTGTTCTTGTAAGTTCATCATTGAATTTACCGTCATCCTGTACTATTGAATCTAAGTACTTGAGCTTCTGTATCTTTGGTAGTGGCTGGTCCCCCAGACTTAGTCTTATTGCCTTCCTGCAAATATACATCAAATATACAGGCCATATTTCTGCTGATTTTTTTCATGCCATTTCTTTTAAGTACACACTTCCATCTCTCTAAATCTTTTTTGCTCTCTCCCATGAGCACTACGTCATCTGCACAAAGCATGCACCAGGATGCCACTCCGAATGTTTTCTGTAAGCCCATCAAGCACCAAGCAACAAAAAGGGGCTGAGCCTTGATGTCTTCCAACACTTACTAGAATCTTTTCAGTTTCTCCACAGGGCCTTTTAACAGGTAACAGCACCCTTGTACATGTCCTGGACAAGTCTGATGTAGTCTTCAGGTATCAGTTTCATTCTCCTACAGATCTGAGAGCTGACTTCTCTCAGAACATGGTCTTAAGACTTCTCAAGATCGATGAATACCATGTGCAGAGTTTTTCTCTTTTCTCTATATTTTTCCACAGGCAGTCTTAATGCAAAGGTAGCATCCATTGTTGACTTGCCTGGCATGATTCCAACCTGATCTTCATTGTGTGCATCCTGAGTTTAATGCTGTCGTAGTTACCACAGTCTTGTATGTCTCTTTTTCTCTTAAATATTGGTACTAATGTGCTCTTTCTCCAGGCAGCTTTTTAGTCTTCGTGGTGAAATTAAACAGTGTCAATATGTTCATGTCTGCTTGCCCCAGGTGCTTCCATACTTCTGCTGGTATGTGGTTGGGGCTGAGAGCTTTCTTTTTCATGTTCCTCAATACTTCTGCAACTTCTTCTAGGACTGATGCCACCAGGCCCTGAGTTGATTTTATATATAGCTTGGTTCCCTTGGATTCTTTTCAATCATGAGCCTTGCAAAGTAATTTCTTCACTCTTCCTTAATCTGGTTCTCATTGATTAACATATTTCCACTTCCATCTTTTAATGACTTTGAAATGAAGGAGGGTGAGAGAGAAATATATAGACTGGCAAAGACTCACGATAGAACTAAAGACATTGTTGAGATCAGTCTGGATACTAATACTTTACTAGAAGATTTCATCTGAGAACAACAAAGACCTCCAAACCATTAATTAACCTCAGAATATCCTCTATATGCTAAGAAAGTAAGGGGGGTTATGTGTACACATCACTTCACCCTTTACTAAAAAAGCATTCATACCTTTGGTGGAACACACAGCTGTTTAACAGCACACAGCAACATTACACCTGATATACAGGAAGAAAAAAAAAAAAGAAACCGCAGGAGCAATTTAAGCAGGCAAAATGGAATTATGTGAGTAGGCAATTGGCCAGGGCAGCTAAAGTAGCACTCTTCTCGCTTATGAAAAAATATGATGGGACCTGCATTAAGCTACAAGAGGTCTGAATCTCAGCTTTACATATTCTTTTTACAAAGACAGAACCTTCAACAGCACACAGTGCCCCTTAGGGGCCAGTGTGGGTAATAGGTTCAGTAACAGTGATAATTGTGCCTCATAACAACTTCCATCTGAGGCTCTCCAGGCCCTTACAAACCATGAAATTAGGCATCTAAACACCCTTATGATATAGGGAAGTATTAATCTTACCCCCATTTTTTATAGATGGGGGGAAACTGATGCACAGAAGTGACCTAACTTGCCCAATGTCAGACAGGAAGCCTTATGGTAGGCCTTTGACCACAGTCTTTTCTTCCTCCCAGTACTGAGAAAATGCCACCTACTGAACCACAGCACAATTTCCTACAGCAGTTAAGCATTCATTTAAAGGCCTCTTATTCAGATATTGACTTGTCCTGACCCTCCTTATCTTGTTACTAACTATGAGAAGCACAGAGCAGCACAGCTGCCGAATGTAGACAGTTGTTTCAAGGATAGGAGGGTATGGAAAATTTGAATCTTTCCACTATATGCTTTCTCTTTACTGTAGTGCAGATTCAGACACTGTATGTTCCCTGTTTAGGACAACCTGGCAAAATTCCACTTGCTGCAGGTGAATAAAATATCATTCAGGTTTTTCTCTATCATCAGTTAGCGTGGTAAAAAGTGGTCAAATGGATTTTTGCATGAGTTACTAAATTCATAAGACACTTCTTTTCAAGGCTGCTTTCGGATCAATTCATGCTTTCTCTCACTTCCTTCTCAAGGCCCTTGCTGTTCCTACTGAAAAAAAACAGTTCAACAGAACGCACCAAGTCAAAGAGCCCTGTGGTTGGTGAAGGCCTGTGTCTAATATTTGCTTTGTATGGACTTGATTGCAAAATATTTGCACTTCACTCTGGTTTACTGTGTTTTGTTACTTTCTTTTGCATTTTGCGCACACAAAAATGTAGATAAATCACTCGTCATTTTGTTTGTCCACAGCCGAAAAGGACCTCGTATCATGTACAGTGACTGGCTGTCCAAGATGGCTGGGAAGGAGAATGGCATTGCACGCTATAAGACTATGTACAGGTAGGTCTCACAGTTACGTAATTTTCAGAAAAACAGTTGGTAAGAAACATCGACAACACATTTTTGGTGGAATTTGCTGAATCATCTAAACCAAAGTGTTCCCGGGACCGTGTTGATTTTGATGAAATTCTGCCAGAAACCAGGTAGGATTCCAACAAAATCCTGACTTGTTTCCTGCCAGTTTTCCATCCGCCTCCTTGACAGCCCATCTAGTAGGCTGTCAGGGAGCAGAGAGCCTGGAAGCCCAGGATCCCCATGCCAGCACACCCCGCCATTTTGTCTGCCCCCAAGCCTGGGATTTCAGCGCATCTGGGTGGAAAATGGTAACTCTGCTTCACAGAGAACTTCAAAACATTGGACTTTTGTTCCAAACTGGAGCTAAACCAATTTTTTGGGATTGTCCAATTGGATTTTTAAGTTTGATTGTATTTTTTACATTAACATTGAAGCTTATTCCATCTATTTTATTTTCTCCCTGATTTCTACTGTATTGAATTGATAAATTAGGAGATTTCACTCTGGGAACGGTAGCCTGGAAAATAGATCTTTTCTATCTTCCTAGGAACAAACAACATTTTATCATCTTTTCTCCTCTGAATTTGAGGAAACAGTCCTTGTGATTGGTACAGTTCCAGAGTTAAACAAAACGTTAGTGCTTTGATGTAAGGACCCAGATTCTCTTAAGTGTTATATCTTCTCATTGTACAGTTTCAATAACTAGTGCATTTTGTTGTTGACTTGCAGTAGAGCTAATCGTACAGAAACAGTCGTGTCTTTCAGAAACAGGGAAACCAGTGTTCCAGGAGACCTTTTAAGGTGAGTACACTGACAGTTACTGTGCGTTGATTACAAAAGTTATATCAATGTTTGTTTCACAATATCTGACTTTTGTTTTTGTTAAGGAGAGCATTTGTTAAGATGAGTACAGCTCCTGAGGCCTTTCTATCTCTGCGATCCCATTTTGCCAGCTCTCATGCACTGATGTGCATCAGCCATTGGATTCTTGGTATTGGAGACAGACATCTGTCCAACTTCATGATTAATATGGAGACAGGCGGCATGGTGGGAATAGACTTTGGACATGCATTTGGTTCAGCGACGCAGGTATGTTTCCTCTGAGCCTTTTCTGTTGACTACTCTATTGGGTGTCTTGGGGGCTGACAGTCAGCCAATTACTTTATATTTTGTATGGAAGTTAAAGTATTTAAAAGTATTTTATTTGTGCTGAATTTGATGATTTCTCATACTTGACACCATAAGTTAAGAAAATGATTCTAGTTATCATTAGAACAGAATCTTTTTCCAGATAACTTGGCTGATGCTAACAGGTTGATATATTCTACAGCTCTATGCGGAGAGCAAAGTATTTTTTTAATATTGGTATCAGTATTTGATGCTTTCTGAAAATCAGAAGGCCTTGCTCATCCATGCTTTCAAACAGTAGTTATTGACAAATATTCATAGCCATAACTTTAACCCAAGGGCAGTCTGATTTCAGTGGGCTCCACATTATTTTCAGTTCAGAAGCCAGCAATGTTTTAAGGTTCATACAGAAGACTTATCTTTGTAATCCTTTAGTTTCAAGGTTTCTTAATTCATGCGTTTCACTTTTTCCCTGTTCTTCTGTAGTTTCTGCAAGTGCCAGAGTTGATGCCTTTTCGTCTAACTCGCCAGTTCATTAATCTGATGTTGCCAATGAAAGAATCGGGTCTCATTTATAGTGTGATGGTACATTCCCTAAGAGCCTACCGCACAGAGCCAGACCTCCTGGTCAGCACTATGGACGTGTTTGTAAAAGAACCTTCCTTAGACTGGCAGGTAGATTTTTGTCTTTGTTCTTTCCTTTTTGCCTTTCTATTCATGAACAAAGCCTAAAGTTAATTAGTTTTGCCTTTGTTACTTGATCATTTTTCATGATAAAACAAGGAAGCCTTTCCTGATAGTCAGCCTACGTTTCCCTTTTATCTTTATCAGCAGCTTTATTGAGCTGGGGAATAATCTTTCAGAGATACTGGCAGAAGCCAAGTTCTTGAAACATGTAAAATGAGACACTGATTTCTTATAGGGGTAAGAGATGGACTGGACAGAGGGATAGCTTTTATCCATTTCTAATTTGTGTTATTTAGTTTCATTTCTGTATTGAATGAGTGATCTTGAGATCTTCAAATCTTTATGGTGATTCATGCTATCACCCTATGTAGTATAAATACAGTATTTTCAATTTGTCATATGATAAGCAGCGCAACTTAGTTTCATGTACAAACATGACACCATGCATTTCATACAATGTGTTGTTTATGAAAATACTTCTGAAACCAGTTACTGAATTAAAAGTTTGAGTATAAGTATTTTCAGACTACCTCTAACTGTACAGAATTTGCTAAAATGATGTAATTATGTGCAATAAATTATTCCTTAGTTTTAGAGGCAACAACATTTTGAGATTTCACTCAAGCAGATCAAAGTAGTAGAGCTTAAGAAGATGTGCTTTCCTATGTTCAGGTTAGCATTATTCATCCACTTTGCAACTGAAAATATGACAAACATTTGTATTTCTGCAAATTCAGCAAAGTAACTTAAGTCACAGGCAGGAGTAAATTTTCGCTATATATCCTGCTCTCCACTTTCTTTGCAATACAGATTATTTGCTGACTTGTTCCTGAGGATGTGGGTGGCTGTGAGAATGTAGGAGAGGTTTAGGAGCATGGTTGTTTGTCTAATTTATGATAAATGAAGAAAAATATTTTCTCTCATTAGAATTTTGAATTGAAGCAGTTGAAAAAAGGCGGCACATGGTCTAAGGAAGTAAACACAGCTGAAATAAACTGGTATCCCTTGCAGAAAGTGAACTGTGCCAAAAGAAAGCTGGCAGGTGCCAATCCAGCAGTACTCACCTGGTAAGACAGTCTCTCTCCCTTGGATTTCCAAGTCCTTTAATAAGAACCTTTGCAATTGAAAGAGTCAGGGACTTGTTACCTTCAGACTTAATGGCAGAAAAGGAGGCAATTTAATCATTTTGCTTCTTGGCAGAGTGAATTGTTTTGATGTACAAAAGCTGTCAGAATCAACTTACTAGCCAAACTACCCTTTATCTCCTGAGTGTCCTTGTTCCAGCTCAGTTTTCCTCTGTACTCCTGGGCATTTATTTTTCTTGGCAGCATGTGTGGCCACACCATGTAAGCCTAGTTATTTCCCACCCCTCACAAGCTGTTGCTCTTCATAAAGCTTTGGGGGTAGAGATGAAATTTGAATGGACTCTGTTTTTTATTAAAAACAAAACAAAACAAAAAAAAAGTCTAGCAGGAATGTTGAGGCAACTGTAAGGGAGGCATACAAGTAAATTAGATAGTTTCCAAAAAATTGGTTAAATTGCCTAGGAATGTGATGGCCTACTGAGATTTAATCAGCTCAGTCAAGATTGGCTCAAGCTAGAAATCACAGTATTTTAGTCTTTAAAATTCAATTAATCCCTTCCTTTTAAATTCATTTTGGGTTGGTGCAATGAATGAAAAGCTTGTTTAAAATTATACAAATACTTTTAAAATGGCTGAATACGAAGGTGCAATTTGTATCACCCAGGAGAGCTATGGCAGTAACAGGTTTGATTGCCTGTAGGTTGCTGTGTGATGAAATGAGTAACTGTTTTCTGCTCTGGCCTCCATTGATGAGGCTGCCTTTTTTCAGATGAGCACTTGGCAGGTGAGGGAGGGGAGAAACAGTACAATACAAGTAGCAGTTTGATTGAGAGGCTTATAGAAATTCTGGGTATCTGGGAACTAGCCTCCCAGACTGGGTCCACAGACTTGTGGCTTGCTAAAGTAGCTGTGTAGATAGTGCTTTAACGGTGCAGCTCAGAAGCCGGGGCAGGGGCAGCTTTCAGAACCCAAACTGCAACGTCAAAGCACTGTCTACACAGCTACTTTTAGCACACTAGTGCGAGCCCCATTAACACAAGTCTGTGGACCCAGTCTGGGAAGCTCGCTCCCAGATGCAGTGTAGACATACCCTTTGAAATCTCACAGACGAGCTCAAGCTGAAGATGTTCATAGTAAATGCTCACAGATGAGGGAAGAGCCTGAGATCACTCATTTTAAGGACTTGATCTTGACTTGCTAAGCACTCTAAACACCTATTGAGTCAAGAATGCTCACTACCTCATAGGATTAGGCCTTAAAGCTCTCATTTAAAAATTAAAAAAACATAGTCTAGATTTTCCGAGTTTTCTTTTTTTCAGTGATGAATTACGACTGGGCCATGAGAAATCACCTGCCTACAAGGAATATGTAGCTGTAGCTCAAGGAAGCAGAGATCACAACATCCGAGCCAAAGAACCAGAGGATGGACTTTTGGAAGAAATCCAAGTGAGATGCCTTTTAGATCAAGCAACAGACCCCAATCTCCTTGGCAGAGTTTGGGAAGGATGGGAGCCCTGGATGTGAAAGAGAGGCTGTAAGGAAATAATCAAATGGAGTGTTCTCTAAGCCAAACCACTACAGTCAAGTTACTGTGTGGTGGGGGAGAAGCATGGATAGAAAAACAATTAATTTGTATTTTCCACAGTGGTAAGTCTGAACTGATTAAGGGTTGTGATACTGTGGTTGAACTTACTCAAAGATGACAATTAGGAACTAATGTCTCTGTACTAGGAATATGGTAACTGTGTTGAAGGCTAAGGCCCATGATATTAAGCTATTGTATTTAACAGAAGAAACCACAAACAAAATAACCACACAATCTTTGAATGGGTTTTTAACATGCTGTATTGTTTAATCCACACAAAGAGTGATAAAAGTCAAACACATACAGCCTATTGAATGATACACATTGCTACTTTTAAAAATGAGAGATTTCAATCAGTTGCTATAATACCAATTATGACCACAACACAGCCTGTTTTAACAATTATAGGAGATGTTTAGTAAGTTGTGATTGTATATTATAAAGATGTTTTATGGTTTTGCATTAATTTAAACTGCAAAGTTTTCATGTTTTAAGAATCATATTTAACAGAAGTGTTGAGTCCATACCTGAAAGCAGGCATTGCTGGTGTGTCTACCGTTTTCTGCTGTGAATGAGATGGCAGCACAGGACAATGTAGTCTGTTGTTTTCCAGTACTTGCTTATGAGGAGATTTAAGGGGGGGGGGGGGGGGGCTGACTTTTTCCCCACCAAGAGCACGAGCCTCTACCTGTAAAGCAGTTTTTTAGAGGTAACCTCTGTGCCAAACAAAGTGCAGCAGAGATTATATGGGAACGAATTATTGTCTTTCAAAATATTATGACTAGTTATTAACATGAATTCATTTAAGAAGACATTTCCCATTGACATTTTAATAATGCATGATTATCATGGACAAGTATAAAATAACTTTAAAAAATGAAAAGCAAACACCTTTGACTTCTCTGCAGCTGTAGGGGCTCTTCTTTGCAACTGTTGTTATAGGTCATCTCAGCCCTACTCAGGCCTGCTTCTACACTGACTTCCATTCCCTGGCATCAGTTTCAACCTGAAAGCAGAGACAGACCATCAGTCTCTCTGCTGGATAAGAACCTATAAGACAAATAAGAGCAGGTAAATGTATAAACTGAAGCTAATGAGCATAAAGGGAATTGTTTAGAGTTGGAAACTGAGTGGCACAAAGAAGCAACAAATAATATTTCTGGGAGGTGTTTTTCCCCCTTCTAAAAAGGTTGAACATTTTAACATCCTTTCTAAACCATAAATGCTAAGAGTTTTGCTTTGTTCACTTTGACTCAGTTCTAGCACTGTAAATCAACATCTCAGAATTCTTGGTCAACAGCATTTTGAATGAGTACAACCGAGTCTGGGGCCATACTAGATCTTTATTGGGAAAACCACTGGCACAAAAACTCCTGGGTGCTGTACAGGAGGTTTGTCTATTAAAAAATAAAAACATAAGCTGTAGAATAAGTAATAGCTCATTTCTAAATTAGTAGTTTTAAGACACTTACTCACTAAAGAAGCTAAACTGCTCTTTTCCCCTCTTAAATTGAAGGGCATTATATATGCAAAGTTGGTTTTTTTTGTCCACTGCAACATGTGCAATGTAGTAATGTATTTTTATATACTCACCTTTGTATGATTCTTCTGAATGCATTTTGCTCCTCTTTATCTTTGATATCAATAAAGGAGACATCATGACTTAAAGCTGTCTGTGTGGAAGGACTGTGTCTCTCTCTTCTAAAGTCATAAAGCACAGTAAAGAGTCACATGAAAAGCTGAGTTCATGTTCAGAAGTCAAATGGCTGACTCCAAGAGGTGTTAAATTGCCCTTTTTGCACATTCCTCTTATACTTGCTGAGTACTTTGACCTGTAAAATAGATAGTTTAGGCTTACAGTTTAACCAGGTTTTTCACATAGGAGTTTTGAAGCTTTCACAAGGAATTTGCAGTTTTCTGACTGGGCACTGCAAAAAAAAAAAAAAAAAAAAATTTTTTTTTTTTTTTTTTTTTTGGATACTTAAGTTGCCCTAACATTCTCAGAAGGGGTTGGTGTAAAGGATTCTGCAGTGAGACTTATGAAGTGAGAGCCAACACCCATAGCCATTGTCCCAGCCAGCCACACTTTTTCAAGGGGAAGGGAGTTGTGATGAATGTGGACTACAAAGAATCGGGGAGGGGAAAAATAGAACACCAAAAAGATTTACATACCGGTACTGTGTAAGCTTGAGAGTCAGCAATGGAAGCCTTTGATGTAGCCCAGCTGTTGAAACAGGTACTAATTGTCCCAGGGCACCAATTTATCATGTGCTTTCTACCTCAGTGATGATTTTTAGATATAAAATTGATGTCTGATTTATAAGCAACAGACCACTCAGTCCTATGAGTGATGTGATACTGATACTATTCTATCTCACACTTCCTCCATCCTGGAATTAATCCATCCAAGCTGAAGGTTTTAATAAGGTTATTTATATTTTCACTGGCACCACCGCCAGGCCATTGACTATACATAAGTTACCCAGTCAGAGGAGTACACCTCTGAGCCTTCATTATCTAGTTGTAAAAGTCTGTTAAACCAACCCCATCATTTAATCCATTCAACTGTTGTGCTATACTGAGTTACAGCTCTATAGCTAAATACATACATGTCAAAAAAACAAAGCCCCTGTTCTGGCATTTAGTCTAACAGACAAATACATGGAGTAACAGGCAAGGTATGGGAAGGTGCTGACACAATGACAACCTCAAACAGGAAGGTTTTTCAGAGTGAGTTTTCAGAAGAAGGCAACAAGAGCGTATTTGGCACACAGGAAGTGGGAGACTGTTTCAACTGGCTTAAAAGAAGGTGATAAATAGAATAACTGCATAATTAGCCACAAGGTTGGGGTTAACAAAAATATTACTTATTCTTACATTGAACTGTTGGTTAAAATAAGCAGATATACTAGATTAACTAAAGAAAAATACAGTAATTGCATGCAGGAAATTATATAAACAATAAATACAAATTCTGCTGAACAACTAATAAAAAAACTGTTTAGAATATGTAAATACTTCTGATCTCACATTCTTTGGAGGGGAAAAACCCATCAATCATCTTTCTCTCAGCATTGCTCTGCTGGTTTGCAATTTGGGATACTGTTCCACACCAACCACAGGTTTAAAAAAAAAAAGACACCACTCTCCATAACCAACTCCAGCATCCTTTCCTAGAGATTACTGATGAAGTTCATGTTCTTCACACACCCCTTGTGTCTCACACATCAGCACTACCTTTCCCCCTCCTAACTTAAGCTGTGTCTATACTACAGAAGTTACAGCAACAGAAGAATATTTTCTGACATTTTATTTAATCCACCCCACCAAGAGGTGATAGCTAGGTTGATGGAAGGATTCTTTAGTTGACCTAGCGATGTCTACACCATGGCTTAGGTCAACTTCACTATGGCTCTCAAGGGTATGAATTCCCCCCCCACACCACCACTGACTTAGCTAGGTACACCTCAGTTTTACGTGTAGACCAGGCCCTAGATAGTAGTTGTAATTCCAGGCTTTAGGTGTTTGCACCTTACTTTCCTCATATATATCCCAAGGAACCGGCAAGGTGTTCCAGAGCAGAGATTGTTTGGTCACTCTGTTAGAGGGTGAAAGCCCCTTCAACAACTGGTCTGCCCTCCTGCTGAAGGGTTTGGTTAGAAGCTTCACACAATTAGATAAAGCAACTTTATTGAAGGAATGATATTTTTTGAGAACCCTCTCCACAAACTTACTTTATGCATAATCTTGAATATGCTAAGGATTGTTACCCAAATATTATTGCTCTAAAACTCATTCGTCGCTGACCTATGACCAAGGGCGTGAGACTATCTTCTGAGTCAGCCAGTCATATTGGTAGCAATGGACTATGAAAAGATTTACATATGAAATGTATACAGATATTTGACACGTCTGAAAAAAAAAAAAAAAAAAAAACCATATAGCTGGGGTGGGAGGAGGGGTGGGGGGGAAGAAGGGGGTCAGTAACAGCAGAACTCAGAGGCATTTTAGTGTATTACATAAATGTTGTTTATCTGTTCTACTGTCAATAGAAAGATATGGTGTCTGGAAATACTAGTGTTTAATTTTACAGCAACATTTTAACTCCTGTTTCCATTTTACTTAAATATTCTTCCATTGCAAGGTGCTGCTTTTCCTAGGATTTACTACCTCACTTTCAAGCAGATGGCATTGCTATTTTGCATTCATTAAACAATGTTAAGATTTCAATCATGTGAAACACAGAAGGCATTTTCCCATTTGTTCTAAGCCTGATATTCTGCTCCTTCCTATTGGCATCAATGGTAAAACTGACTTCAAAAGGAACAGATCAGATTCACAATGTCAAGGTTTGATATTTCATTAGACAAAAGCCGAGTTCTCTTCCTGCTGCGACACCAGTATCCATCTTAAGACTGAAAAGTGGCATCCTACGTTTTTTGTTTAAAATCCAATCAATATTAAATAAAATACCTTTTGCTGGCATGGTTCCATTCCATCAGGGTCACTTCATGACTGATTCCACTCTGGGGAAGAGAAAACATACTTTAGCTAGCTGAATAGCAAAGTACAGGCAATTATGGATGTGGTTTCTAAGATAACTTGTCACTTGCCAGAAACACTACCCATAAAGCAGTTCCTTCCAGCTGATCTATGGACCATCCCAGAAAGAGTGTGTGAGAGAGAAAAACTAGTAAAACTCTTGTGAACTAAACTTTTGATCCCAGGGAGCTAAAATGCCTTTCCCTATGTTTTATATATCCAGCTATGTAAACTAATGCCCTTTTAGTGCATCTGCAGGGCAGAGTACAAGAAACACCGTTTAGCTGACTTTCAGGCTGCTAGGCCAAAGTTTGTAGTCACATGTAGTCACAATATAAACAGAGGCCATAGTGCTAAGAGCAACTAGGATGGGGGAAAAAAACAAACAAAACCACCCACAAAATTGGCGCGTAGCACATTTATGGAGGTGAGAAAAGTCTTCTATAGAAATGCATTCTATCTGCATTGCTGTATGTCTCTATGCCACATGTCACTACTGCATCTACAGACAACAGACAAAAGTGGCAGCACCCTCCCATATTAATATAACAAACCTTATATCAAGGAAACAGAACTCCGGCATACTAAATGTTCTCATATTCAGTGTAGCTCTACCTCTATCGTAACAGAAATTATCAACATAGGTCAGAGATTGGGCCTAAATAATTTAACATTGTTATAGTTGGATGGAAAGGACGCCTCACAATTCCAAAGATTCTTTCTTTGTTTTATAGGAACTCACTTCCCTCTGTGCATCAGCATCATCATGAAAGGCAGCATAGCCCTGAGAATAGGTTTTGCTAACCAAGCCTTGCAGAGCCAAAAAATGATGCACTGAACAAAAGCTGTATCTGTTTCAAGATTAACACCCCAACGTCAGCTAAAAGAATATTTTATATATATATATATATATATATGTTTGGAAACAGGCATGAGAGGATTTTCAAAGCTCAGTAGAAATGGAATATGGTATCACAGATTATGCCAGGGAACATGAGTTTTAAATAATAAGCAAGTTAAATTTTGTATCAATAGCTACTATGCATAGGCTGACACTATTTAATTTTTGACATTATATATATATATAGAGAGAGAGAGAGAGAGAGAGAGAGAGAGAGAGAGTGTTCCAAAACAAATGATTAGGGTGGATAATTCCAGGTCAGAATGTAAAACAGAGGCTGAGGAGTTTATGCATCTGGTTTAGAAAAACTAACCTGCCAACAATGGTGCATCTGAGCTAGAGATCATGAAAAACACACTTTTATGACAGTGGTAAAAATGTTGCATGTTTTATCTATAGTAATTCATATGTTTAAACAATTTAAAAGTTATATTAAATAGACAAATTATGAGAATAGTATTAGGTTTCAAAATCATGAATAATAAGAATGGACAGAAAGGAGTGTGTGTCTTCAGTGTCCAGACAGATTATAGGTATATATTCACACATCAGCTTAGCAAGCATTGTGAACTCAGAGATCACCTAGAGACATGCGAGACAGAGTCCATTGCTGATCTTTAATTTTATATAATTTCATTTGTAAACTGATTGTATTGTAGTTAAGGTACCTGTTTGATCCACCTAAAATAAATATTGATTTATAAAGGTATATTTTGTGTTACAAAAATACAATTATGTTACTATAGCTCAATCATGCAACGCTAATTCATGTCAAAGTTAAACTCAGTGGGGACTATTGATGTAATTAAGAGTTGCATGATCAGGTCCAGAGAGCGCAAACTAAAGCTATGCCTACAAGATTGTCTAACTACACTTATATAGTTAAAGCAGTACAGCTTTGTGTGTAAAGTGATACAACCCTCTAGTGTGGACAGTTGTACTGATATGAAGGTGCTTGAGATAATATAGCTCAGTGGTTCTCAAACTATGAGTGAGGACCCCACTTTAGTAGGGTCGCCAGGGCTGGCCTAGATTTGCTGGGGTCCAAAGCCCAAGGGCTTCAGGTTACAGGCCCTTGGGCTTCGGCTTTGATCCCCCGCACGCGGCAGTGGGGCCTGGCTTTGGCTTTGGCCCTGCCACCTGGGGCTCAGGCTGGCTTAGGATTCAGTTCCCCCCTCCTGGGGTCATGTAGTAATTTTTGTTGTCAGAATGGGGTTGCGATGCAATGAAGTTTGAGAACCCCTGGTATAGCTTATTCCCATAAAGGAAGAAGAATAAGTTATAGCTGTATAACTGCATCCACACAAAGGGGGGTAGCCTGCTGTAACTATTTTGGTTAAAATAAACAAACAAAATGCACACCACTTATTGTAACAGTTATACCAGTACAAAAACTACTGTCTGTAGACCAGACCTTAGCAATGTCCTTTTAAAGTCTAGCTATGAAGAGAGAAACTAGGCAACTCATATTGAATATTAATTGCTTTAGCTAATTCTCTTAAAAAAACCACGCAAACATTTTGACAAACAATTTTGTTTTCCCTTTTGTAAGCAGTCAGTGGACTATTCTTTTAAAATGTTTGGGAGATGGGAAAATTTCATATTACACATTGTATCTTTAATTATTATTACATTTATTTTGTTTCAGGTATACTTGTTCATTTATCAGTATCAACTACTGATTTTAAAATAGGAATATATTCATCAAAACTTTTTTTAATGGGCAACTGAAAGGAGTGGGGGAAGAGAGAAATTTTAGAGAGTAAAATGAAGACAGTTTAGTTAGACAGTAATCTAACACCATAAATCTACATTTACAACATTATTGCTGTCAAAAGAACATCTTGTAATGAAACGTACAGGCAAACATTGTCAGTTAAAACAGATTGTCCCAATCTGTCAGGCTGAGTTCTTGCCTTTTTAGTATCCACAGTCGTTTCCCCTAAACTAACTGAACCTCAGGAGGGCACTAGAGTGACATTCACAAAGGGAAATACTCAGGTGTATGTATGTTTATTTTATAAATATATACTGATTCCTCTTTAAAGTCTCCATTGGAAAAAGTTGTAGTTTCTACACTCATTTACATTGCAGAGTGACTTTGGCAGTGTGCCAGGTCAAAAGGTGAAGAGTTTATCCATCAAAATGTCAAGCAAGCACTGGTATGCACTCCTCCAGACAATATGAATGACGGAGGTGGTGTTCGTTTAACAAGACTAGACTGCAAACCAGGGGGAAGATTTCCTAAATTCTAATAGTGTTTTTATTAGCTTCCCCACCACCAAAAATTTCTGAGCCTAATAATTAGTTACATAAAGAATGTTTAATGACTATGTTTTTACAGGTTTCAGAGTGGTAGCCGTGTTAGTCTGTATCAGCAAAAAGAATGAGGAGTACTTGGGCCACCTTAGAGACTAACAAATGCTCAAATAAATTTGTTAGTCTCTAAGGTGCCACAAGTACTCCTCGTTCTTTTTATGTTTTTACAGTACCTTTCACCCTGGAAGATCTCAAAATGTTTGTTTCAGAGCAAGCAGACTACTTTGTTCACTGCTGCCATCAAATTCTTTTTGGGGAGGCAGCAGCCCTTTAAAAGCCCACAGCAACAGTTCTATAAACCTGTGTGGTGATAATATCCACTTTTAGAGGTAGGTATTTAGGGAGACAAGCTTTTCTGTATGTGCCCAATCCTGCAGTGATTGCTCAAGCCAAACTCTTATTAAAGTAGATTGGGTTTTGCCCCTGAGGTCATGGTATCACCCCTCCCCCTCCCCCAATGTGTTAGTGACTGTGAACTGACATATCTAGTATGGCATAAAACCCTTGTCATAAGGGCTCCTGCTGAGAATGCGGGAAGGTGTATTACGATATTGGAACCTTGGGGAAAGGATAGGGACATTTTCATTGCCCATAAATGCTTGGCTATAGCGCATACAATTCAGTTTTCAGGTCAGTTATACTTAAAAGTGTTTTTTTTTTCCTTTTCTTTTTTTGTCATTTCCTCCTTGCTAGGAAACCCAGATTGACTATTTATTTGGAGTGTTATTTTATAGTGTCACCAGATGCAACCCGGTCTCACAAGGCTGTGCAGACAGGTTTTGGCATCAAAACCGCGCAAACCATTGTTGTAATTCTACAGCGTCTCCTCAAAATGAAACAGAGAAATGACTGTATTGCTAAAGCAGCACACTTTACATTTTCACTGTTTACATTATTCACGACTTACCTCTAGGAAAACACTTCTCATTAGCCTACAATGTGAGTGATTGCTTAAAGACCGTAACTAGGAACCTGGGCACCAGTGCGTTCTCTTCCGTGGCTGTGGGTGGCAGTATAACACTCCCTCTCCCCCCCCCTTTTTTTTAAGTGACCTACATTGTAGTCTGAGCTGACAGATACAAAAATACACACTAGTCAGCCACAAGAGGGCAATGTGTACCAAGGAGGCAAATCACTTCGTGGTTTTGAATGCAGAGAAAGTATTTTCTATGGTGCTAAAATCTAGCACATGGTCAAACAAACAGCACAAGACTATTTCCCCCTCCCCCCCCCGCCCGCTTCATGCATTGTGTACGTGCCACTTAACCTATCACAACTCCAACGTGCAGCACGGCACTGCTAGGACCTAAGTGTGAGCTGAGCGGAGCACGTTTAGAAAAGACAGCGGCTGCACAGGAGCGGAGCCTTGATATGGGGTGGGGGGAATTCATCGGCCAGGCGTAGTTTCCCGCTAAACCGTGTCTGAAGCCGCTCATCGCACTACACAAACTGCGAGGTACGCACAGATTCAGGTGCAGCAGGCGAAGTACCGCTCGCCGCCGCCTCACTAGGCAAGCCCCGGGGGAAGGTGAGACTCTCCTCGGCAGGCTGTAACCCAGCTCCATCCCTGGCAACCACGGGAGTCCTCGGCTCAGCTACGGTCTGCCTCGGCGACGCTGAGCTTTGCCTCAGCCGCTCGCTTCTGGCTCTCCATTGGCGCTGCTCTTGGGCTTAACAGTTACCCTGGTCCTGCCCGGGGGGACGTTTGCAGCCCACGTGCATTGTGCGTGTCTGTTTCAGGGCAAGCGGTTTCTCGCCCCCGCCCCCCTCCCCAGGAACCCGAGCAGCGCAAACTCCGATAAACAGGAAGGTGGGAATGAGAACAGCAAGTCCTGCCGCCTGTCCTAGGCACTGGCACCCCAGGCGCGTTCCCAGCACAGCCAGCGCAGCTTGCACGGGCTCTGGCTCTGTGGCGGAAGCAGCCCCACCACCCCCCACTTGCTGCTGCAGCAAAGATTTACGAGGCCCAGCCTCAGATCTAGGTTACGCTGCTCCCCGGCCCCCGCTGTGTCGCCCCCCGGCAGCGGCGCAGGGCAGACCCCTCCCCTCGCGCTGCACCGCCCCGGGGCCCGAGGGATTCCAGTAACACTCTCTCCCCGTCACTGGGGCAGGGGGCGGGGCCGGGGCTATATAAAAGCGGGGCAGGCGGCGGCTCCCAGGTTCAGACTTGCTGCCCCCGGTCTCGGAACAAACTCCTCGTCTGCACCGGCCTGGGCGCTCCTGGCGGACCCAGCGTGACGCTCCGCCGCTTGCTTCGCGGGGAAGGCGCCGGCCAGTGAGCCCAGCCGCAGCCTCCAGCCCAGCCTGACAGCGGAGGGGGAACCACTCACCTGTTGCGGCGCTACCAGCCCGCGGAGCCCGAGCCCCTGGAACTCCTGTGCAGCCCCTGCCCGCTCCCCGATGAGCGCCGCCGCGCTGTACAGCCTGGACTCCCCGGCATGCTACAGGAACTGGTCCCTGGAGCCGGCCAACTTCTACGACACTAAGGCGGGCGGCGGCGGGCTGAGCCCCTCCTGCAAGCCCGGGAGCGGCGGCATGAGCGCCGAGGAGCAGGACGGCGGCGGCGGCAGCAGCACCCTGGCCGAGCTGAGCGCCGCCGCTCCGGCCATGTACGAGGACGAGAGCGCCATCGACTTCAGCTCCTACATCGACTCCATGTCGGCGGTGCCCAACCTGGAGCTGTGCAACGACGAGCTCTTCGCCGACCTCTTCAACAGCAACCACAAGGCGGAGCGGGGCGGCGACTACGGCGAGTACCTACCGCCGGCGGGCCGCGACCCCGCCAAGGACTTCGGCGGCGCCCTGCTGGGTGGCGAGCCCCGGCCGGGCTCCTCCTCCGCCCCGCGGGCCGCCCTGAAGCGGGAGCCGGACTGGAGCGACAGGGACCTCGCCTCCTCGCTGCTGCCCTCGCAGGTCGCCACCTGCGCCCAGACAATCATGAACCTGAGCGGGCAGCCCACGCCGCCCACCTCGCCCGAGCCCGCGGGCAGCAGCTCGCCGTCCAGCTGCAGCACCAGGTCCCCCTCGTCGTCCTCCTCCTGCGGGCAGGGGCAGCCGGCGGGCAAGGAGCGGAGCGGCAAGAAGTGGGTGGACAGGTTCAGCCCCGAGTACCGGCAGCGCCGGGAGCGCAACAACATCGCCGTGCGCAAGAGCCGCGACAAGGCAAAGCGCCGCAACCAGGAGATGCAGCAGAAGCTGCTGGAGCTGTCGGCCGAGAACGAGAAGCTGCACAAGAAGATCGAGCAGCTGAGCCGGGACTTGACCAGCCTCAGGCACTTCTTCAAGCAGCTGCCTGGCGCCTCCTTCCTGCAGCCCGGCTCGGGCACCGACTGCCGGTAACCCTGTGGGCAGGGACTCGAGGGACTGTGACTGCCTTATCCTACCAATACCTCAGAGACCTACACGGAGCAGCCGGCGCTGCAGAGCCAGGACTGGCCTACCTGCGGCGGGGCCGGTGCCTCAGCACTGCGGAGGGGCCGCTGCTGCTGCTCAGCTCCCGTCGGCTCCCTAAGCGGCCTTAAGGGAGAGAGGAAGAGACAACAGTGAAATTGTGCTGGGTTTCAGTTTCTTTTGAATGTTGTAGCAAGATTGGGCTCGGCCTGGGTCTTTAACCGCCAAACTTGCAAAAAAAATTATAGAGAGAGAGAGAAAGGGAAAAAAGCTAAACTTTTGTGGTTTTCCCCTTAAATTATTTTTGTAACAGTCGTTTTTGTTCTTTTTCTACATTTTATTCATCTTGATGCAGCTATGGTACATTTGTAAAAATGATTCAAAAACCCTTTATACTGTAGATAGTAGGAGGAAAAAGACTGAGCATGCTCAACCTTTTATATCCATTTTTACAGCATTTCTAAGAATAAAAGAGCATTTTTAATCACTTCTGCTTCATGTCTTTGCCCTATGCTTTGGAGCCAGGGGTTGAGAGTAAATGCAACAGGTGGTGCTGTACTTCTCAGGAGTTACAACCATGCATAGTAGTATTAATATGAAAATGTGATTCATCAGTAAAACCCAGAATGGAGGTGTGCTTTAAGTACAACTTTTTAAAAAGTTTAATTTTCAATACTATTATTAAATTGGGGGGAAAAAACGAATAGGCTTATTTAGTGCACTAAACATTTTAAACATCTCAAAAGAAAATGGAGGCAACATTTTGGTATTCGTTAGTAGGGTTAAAATTCATGTCTGCCAGTATAATGGTTATAAAGTATACCTTCCTGCACCGACTACATTCTGCTGTACAAATGTTGTCAGTAATTACTATTTATAACAGTTCAAGCTAACTGTATCCATCAGTGGCTGAACTCTTAACAACAAGTAGGCCATTTCCTATCATGGTTCTCAAGTAGCATAACAAACAAAACACAAGGGAAGCTAAGTTTTGCTATTAAATTGTAAAACCTCAAGACAACAGTTAAGAGCTCTAGCTGTACAATACCCCAAAATCAGGTCCAGCCATGTATATTGTTACTTGTATGAAGAGGTTTAAAGGCTATGAAGTCTGACAGAAAAAATGCATTCCTTGTGGAATGAACAGGTTATTTGCTGCAAGTACATGAATCTTTAGTTTCTGTATGGATACATTTTAGTATTCTGAATCCTACTCAGTGAACAAACTGACCACCTTTGCTGTGCAGTTCTACTGACAGTGAGGGTCCAAGAGGCAGAACTGCCATTGAAAATAACTGCATATATTTAAGTCAATTTAGTCACCTAAATTTGTTCATAATCTGGAAGTATACTTATTAATAGCACAGCATGTTTGGGGGCAGCAATGGTCTGCAGAAAACCAACCTAATGCTGTAAACACTACTAGGGTGTAGTGCTTACCTGCAGAAAATAGTTCCATAGATTTCAGTGGGACTATTCACAGCAGTAAGTATTACACCTGGTATTATCTGATGGACTAGGCCCAGTGTTTGTAGCTTTTTCTTAAGGTAAAATGGCTAAGGAAGAAAAGGTCTTTTTTGACTCAAAGGCTTGGTTATTTATTAGTGCTCAAAAGAGAGCCTAAAAGTCATTCCATTATCTACAATGACCCCAGAAATGACTAGTAGGAGACAGATTTACAGTTATTTGTCTATTCAGTAGTCACAAATCAGGCAGCAAAATCTTTTCAGCATGCAAAACTAGTTACCATATAACTCTGGTCTATTGTTTTTTCACTAAGTGCAGACAATCTGCTCTGTGCTGTACAGGACAAAAAAAAAATCAGTTGGTGCCTTAACCTTACAGTCTAGTCTTATATTAAAGTTCAGTTATGAACACAAAAGAAGACTGAGATAAAAACATCTCAGATAGATTAAGGTTAGAACCATATCACCCTATCTACGTGCAGCTATCAGTACAATTATACCACTCCTGAACCAGTTTGTTCTTTACTCTTTATACACATTATACTATATAATGAAACAATCTCATGGTAAGTTAGATGCCACAGTATTTCTATATTTAGACTATGACTAACTATAAAACATTAGTTGAATATACCTTTGACACCATTTATCACATCTGAAAGATAACGAGGCTCATTCAAATCTGTATTTGTAATATTTATTGCAGTGTGGTAATAACGTTACAGTTAAGTATCAATGGTGTGCAGTGTATAATGCTTCTGGAAATTATTAAAACAGATAACTTACTTAAGGTCCACCATTCATGCTAAAACCCTTACTCAAAAAAATAACATTTAAAAAGTTATTCTTTTGATACACACAGAATTAAAATATTCATAACACCCATTATAAAAATATCACCAAAAACACGCTTTACAAACATTCAAACCTCTAGAACAAGTTGTTTTACATTCACGAACATTTACTCCAACAGAATAATCTCAAGAACTATACTCTTAAATTCTGGACTGACCAAAAGCACAATATAAACATTCAGAAAAAAAAGATTTTTTTTTTTACATACTTAGTTTTTTTAAGTTTAGCAATAATATATTTTCTAAATCACAGTTTTAATAAACTATCTCACTACTTATCATGCTTGCATTATACATTATCTGTGGGCATAGTTATCAAATAACCACATTACAAAGTCCATAGATATTATAGTAGCTGACAGCATTCAGGTTAATTTCTTCCTGCTTCCAGAAGGACAATTTCCTCCAATCCAACACAGCTAGGATGGTTGGTTACAGACTGGACATAGCAGTTTAATAACCCCACCTCCTTTCCCAGCACACTCTTCACCTCATAACTCTGTAGTGATAAAGGCATGTTGATTAAACAAACAGTACTGTACGTTCTGTTCTAGGCAGCACACAACTCAAAGATAGAGTGTAAGGTCCTCTTCCAGTGTACAACGTTTTTACTGCTCAAAAAGGAAGCTAAACAAAATAAGATTGTGAAATGCTGCTACAAAGAACGTACTTAGTCTGATAAACTAATTAGATTTTCAATAATTTTAAAAATAAAACATTTCCCAGCAGTCGCTATTAGAATGGATCTCACTGTCAGGCTCTTAAAACTGCAGTAGGTATAATGGCTACTGCAATTTAGCACCCAGTCCATGAAAGCATAGCCAATTGCTTCTTTATATAGCTTTCTTGGATACCCAAGGATTTTGCATGTGATAGGGCAGTGCGTGTGTGTGTGCACGGTCTGTAAGAAGGTAACCAAAGAAAAAAATCCCATTAGAAACTAAACATTAAAAAAAAACAACTTTACACCTGTTCCTGTACTGCCCTACATAGAGTTATAATAATTTGCATTTATATAGCGCTTTATGTTTAAGGATCACAATATAGCTTAATACTAATTGTGCCTCAACATTTCTGTGGGGTAAGTACTATTATATTCATTTTATAGTGTGGTACACGAAGATATAACAGTTAGGTGATTTGTCCAAGGTTACACAAAAAGATGGTAGACCCAGGATTAGAAAACAGGACTAGTGGCTCTTCGGACCATGTTTGAAAAAACATTTTTATTTGAAGCCCACACTAACTTTGGCAAAAATTACAATTTGGAGTGATATTTCTCATGCTTAGTCTTTCCCTAAATGTGCTTTCTTTTTAAAATAACGTTGCAGTTTGAATTAGTGGAGTATGGAGTAAAAAAGTTATCACTGGATTTCAGCCAGAAAAAAAACCCCCTCCAAATAGCAAGTTTTCAGATGTAATCTTTATGGATAACTGGTAAATATTCTTAAGACTTAAAGCATGAAAATACGTTTGTTTGGGTTTTGTTTGTTTTACTTAACTAACCCAACTAACTCAAAAAACTAAATTATTTTGTTATACTTTCCAAACAAAAAATAGCTAATGGAAAGAAGCTTGTGTCAAATGACATTTGAATAGACTTTAGAATAGAGTGTGCAAGTACTCTATCAAACACTGGCTTTGTATTCAAGAGTTGCAGGAAGATTATTACTCATTTTAAAAACGGTCTTCTATAAACCATAAGTCTATTAGCTTACATGTACTATCTACAATATAAAAGAGCAAGAAACAATTCACTGCAAAATAATTTTAAGAAAAACTTTCAACTTAAAATATTCCTTATAGATCAAATTAATACAGTGTATTGTGTAAGTAACAACTAAACATATTACATAAAACACAAAGACAAGCAAATAGGGCTATACTGATGATATCTCAGACCAAGAGAGTAGCCACTTGATGACTATGTCTTATAGCTCATGGTTGCTTGTGTTTCATGTATCTGTGGTTTGATTTATTCAGGTTCCAATAAAACACAATTTATTATATATTTTACAGGTTTCTCTAGTGCTACTTCCTATGATGAAACTTCAGTGGCAGTTACTTGAGAGCAATTGGGTCTAGGTGTTAGAGGAAAGAACTAGCGGGCCAGGACTCTTGTTATTTTTGACACTGACTTGCACTAAGTGCCCATCTGTAAATAGGTGTACTAATACTTTTGTCAGGATGTAGTGCAGGGGTGGGCAAACTACGGCCCGGGGGCCGCATCTGGCCCTCCAGATGTTTTAATCTGGCCCTCAAGTTTCCGCCAGGGAGCAGGTCCAGGCCTTGCCCCGCTCTGGCGCTCCAGCTGGGGAGCAGGGTTGTGGGCTTGCCCCACCCCGTGCGGCTCCCAGAAGCAGCGGCATGTCTCCGCTCTGGCTCCCATGTGTAGGGGCAGCCAGCGGGCTCCGTACGCTGCCCCCATCCCAAGTGCTGCCTCCGCAGCTCCCATTGGCCAGGAACTGCTAATGGGAGCTGCAGGGGTGGCGCCTGTGGACAGGGCAGCGTGCAGAGCCGCCTGGCCATGCCTCCGCATAGGAGCCGGAGGTGGGACATGCTGCTGCTTCTAGAAGCTGCTTGAGGTAAGCGCTACTTGGAGCCTGCACCCCTGCCCCGCACCCCAACCCCCTGCCCCAGCCCTGATCCCCCTCCCACCCTCTGAACCCCTCGTTCCCAGCCCAGAGCACCCTCCTGCACCCTGATCCCATTTCTGGCCCACCCCAGAGTCCCCAACCGGAGCCCTCACCCCCTCCCACACCCCAACCCCTAATTCTGTGAGCATTCATGGCCCACCATACAATTTCCATACCCAGATGTGGCCTTCGGGCCAAAAAGTTTGCCCACCCCTGGTGTAGTGAAACTATTTTTTCCTAAGCATTCCCAGATTCCCAAATGAAAGATGCTATATAGAGCAAAGTATTCTTAGCATGTTTTGCTCCAGTGTCTTCACATACAGCTCAGAATATCTACTATCCACTTTGGAACTCTGCCTCTAAACTAAACTTCAGGAAGTTTCATTTTCTTTCTTTATCTTAATTTTATGTATACCTACCCCATCCTCACTGGATGATGACATCAGGACAGAAGAAATTGTTTTTTGTAACAGCTGCAGTAAGAAAGTGAAAGGACAAGACAAGACAAAAATCACATTTATGTATAACATTC